CCAAAACCGTGACAAACTTTTTTGCACCTCGCAATACGTAAAATTTCAATCACGGGTTAAGATTTATATAAGCAGTAGCCACTGGTTACTGCTCCTGGTCAGCGGATATCAGTCTTTCGCAAGAACTGCATCTTGACCGAATTATTCTTTTGAGCGGACAAAACGAACGTCAGGACTACGAGCATGCTGACCACTTCGAAATGCAGCATTGGTCAAAGAGATTGGAAAAATTGGGGTTGTTCCGAGTGCTTCAGAAATATCATTCTTGTTTTCATTTAATACTGGTTATATTGTTGGTGTTAATATTAAATAGAAATTTTACGCTTTCTAGCAACGAAGGCCCTAACCATCGAATGAGACAGGCACTGAGAATCTTGCAAATGAGTGCTATCCTCAAATTTTTGAGTGAAAAAATCTTGCTTATTCAAAAATTTCCAAAGTCCTCAACCTTTCCATCGACATGTCCGCCAACTTCAAAATTGTTGAGAAACTGATTGAAAACATCATCTCGGGACTTTTCACCCGAAATGTACTGCGGATGCCGTTCCGCATGATAAACTCCCTTCATATCGTCCACTGTTATTACACCATCGCCCGTTTTGTCAAGCTTCTTGAATGCTGCATCGATAAGTGCCAGACGAGCCTTCGACATCGGCGGCTGCAAATTTGCGCTGTACACATACACATCGAGTAATCGATAAAACAAGAGCACCCGTCAAACTTTGAGAGTCCTCAGCCAATAAATGGCTTTTTTTACGAGTTTTTTAATCACATGTATAGAATGATAAAAAATTTTGGACACTGGCTCGTTTTCATGTTCATTCAAGGAGCACAGAGAGCATACACATGCGAATATCGGGCTATTGTGATAATTTTGCATACACAAATTACTCACATAACTTAAAGCTTATTGCGCTTGGAGTCCTCAAGAAGCGCACTCAACAAAAGGACGATATATTAATCACCAATGTTCAGCAGCCTCAGTCTTCCATCACATGGGTACCAAGTCAAATTATAATTTTTCAGCAAAATGAGGATTCTGTAGAACAGGCTTCCCATAATTTCATTTCCAAAGTTTCTTAGCAACAAAAGCC